TTGATTCCTATTATACAAATAGATTCGAGTAAAGCTAGAAATTTAGATATATCTATTGATTTGCAAAAGATTTATTAACAACCTTCGGGTTATCAAAGGACTGTGAAAAAATTGCATGAAGCTTTTTTAAAAGCTGGGTTTGATTTTACCTTAAATGAAGTACGTGATTGGCTTGAGAGACAAGCTGTTCATCAGATTCATAAACTCTCGACCAAAATATATTCTATATACAAGTTTTACCTTTATTACTATTGCTAATGAGATATATCAAGCAGACATTAATTCCTAATATTCAAATAAATTCGAGTAAAGCTAGAAATTTAAATAAATCTATTGATTTACAAAAGATTTATTATCAGCTTTTAGGTTATCAGAGGACTATAAAAAAATTATTTGAATCTTCTCTAAAAGTTGGGTTTGATTTTACCTTAAATGAAGTGTGTGATTTGCTTAAGAGACAAGGTGTGTATTAGGTTCATAAACCTTATCCTAGAAATATTCCAAGTGCATCTTTCATTAATAATATTATACTTATGAAGGTTATTCAATCTGACTTATGCTATATACCTTATGATCAAATTGGAAACAAAATTTATAAATTTGCACTTAATTGTGTAGATATTGCTACTCATACAAAATGGACCTATCCTTTAACTAACTGTGATTCTGCTAGTGTTGCTATAGGCTTTGAAAAACTTTTTAACTCCCAAAAATATCCGCTTACTTGGCCTAAAAAAGATCTTATGGTAGACGGGGGTGTTAAATTTCGGGGTGATATTATTAGATTAATAAATAAATATGATATCAATATTCTAATAGCTAATTCTAAAGAAAGTATAGGTATTGTTGAAAAGTTTAATAAGATATTACAAGAATAGTCATCTATTATTCAAGATGCTGTTGATATGAGATTACCTATATCAGAACGTTGTTGAGCTTGGATTAAAAACCTTCCAATTTTTCTTGAGAATCTTGATAATTCTGTGACTTGTCTTCTAGGTATTTCTTCTACTAATGCATGCAAAACCTTTTAAGCTTCGAAATAGACCTATAGGATTTGATGAGAAGCAATTAACTTATGATGTTCTTATAAGATATTTACTTAAATCAGGTAAGTTAGAAGGTGGAAGAAGACGTGCTGGAGATATGATTTGGTCTCCTCAAGTCTATCATATCTGTGAATCTTTAATGCAAAAAATCAGCCGGTCTTATACTGGCTGGAAGATAATAAAGGCAATAGTCCGAAAAGATCTTTTGTGAGAGAAAGATTAATGGTTATTAAGGAAGTTCAGCTACTATCTCGAATGATGCTTAGTAATTAAGAAAGTCTTCAAGTTCTTTATTAACTTGTTCTTCAGTTTTGAAATAATCTTTGGCTAATTTATAGTATAATTTATATAGATCTATTACAGCATTAAGAATTTTTGGATCTTTTCCATACCAAGATTTATATTCATCCATAATACTATGATATTTATTCTTATCTAAGAATAATCTTTTTGCATTTTCTAGGATATATATATCAGGATCTTCTACCTGACGTAATTTTTTTACCCGCTCTTTATAGCTTTGCATGAATTTGCTATCTTTTGGCTTTCTATAATATATTTCTGCTTTAACTACATTTATTAATGCCTGTTCAACTTCCTAGAAGGTGGGCTTTATTTCGGGTAATTGAATTTGTGTATTCATTATATATAAAGTATATATTTTCTGTTATTTGTATTAATATAGCAGAAACTTTTATTGAAAATAAAATATTTATTATTACAATAATTGACGAATATTCTTGTAAGTATTTACTTCAAACTGGTGGCGTACCTGTCATCAATCATTAGGATGTCATGAATATTGGAAAGCTAGGAAGTGTATTTTATGCACAGATTGTGGTAAGCTGACTAGTTCTAAGCTTAGCCTTTGTAGAAAATATGCTAGTGGTTATTATGTTACCCAGTATATTAACAGGCTTCGGGATAGAACTATGGGTACTTATTGGGAGGCAAATTAGGATTGAAAATTTTACACCTTGTACTAAGACATACGAAAAATTTACAACTAACCCTGAGTGTCTTGTCGCTTAACCACGCTAAGTCTCTTCTTTTAGCTTTGCATTTTATTTTTTTTACACCTAGTACTAAGACATATGAAAAATTTTCACCTAACCCAATTTATTTTACACCTAAAATGAAAATTAGCGATCCTAGCTTTATGTAAAGGAAATGGCTTAAGATTAGTTTACTGAATATTGAGAAATTATTAATATACTAAAACTTGATCTAGAGTTTTTAGACTTTCTTGTACACATTCAAAAATTTATACCTATGAACGGGTATAGGTGTAAATTTTAGTATTGCTAGCAGATAATGAATCAACTTTAGAATATATTTTAGGATATCATGAAATATAGTATGCATTTTAGGCTTACATAATCGGATCTAACTCAAATCATGTCATTTTGTTCCTTGATTTTTGATGGATCCTCTGGAGACAAGCAGAATAGCATAAAAGTTATTATTTATATTAGGTTTGCAATGTCAAGTCCAGCTCAAATTGCATCACTTTGTTCCTAAATTTTCGATGATCCCTCCTGAGGCAAATAGAATAGTAAATTTTTTTTGATATATTATTTGGGATTAAAAATAGGCTAGAATAGTTAAAAATAATTGTATTCTTTTTAGCTTCTGAAGCCTAGATTTTACCAAGAAGAGGTTGTCAACAGGATTTGAGCCAAAATTACAATAGAGGCTTAAATTCAATAGTTAATTCATATATGCTAAAATGATTGAAAAAAGGTTTGAAGATCTATTTTAGGTATCATATGATTTTGACCCCAGAATCCCATATTGGTCCTACTGCTTTAAAAAATTTATATGAAAATAAAAAAAATATAAAATAATAAAATAAAAATGTAAAAAGTAGAAAATAAAGTAAAAAAAGGAAATGTTAGTAAATTAGAGAAAATAAAAGAGAGAAAATAATTAGTATAATAGAGAAATCAAAAAAAAAATTAGTAGAAAAAAAATGAATAAAAAAGAAAAAGTGAAACATTTAGTAGAGAAGTTAAAAACAGTTAATAGAAAAGAAAAAAATGCAATAAGTATTTGTTAATATTAATATTAAGATAAAGGGTTTTTATATCAACTGAATAACTTTTATTGAGAAATAAAAAAGATTTTTTGTTTATTTTTTTTTATCATATGAAAGATTTGCTAGGAAAATAGGTTTCTGATAATTTTTTATTAAAATTTTAATTTTTATTGCATTTTAATTTAACATTATCAAAAATAAAATGCAATAAAAATTAATATTTTAATAAAAAATGTTTAAAGCCCTATTTCTTTAGCAAACCTCCTATATGAGAGCTTTGCAATAGAAAGATAGGAAATCCTAAAAAATTTTTTTTGAGTTAATGTTAAATCTGAAATTATTTTACTAAAAAAAATCATAATTAGCTTATAATTTAAAATTTTGATTTTTTTAGAGTTTCCTCCTTTTTTATTATAAAGCTCCTATATGATCAAGTGAACTTTAATTGATCAATTTATAAAATCTGAAAAATTACAACTGCAATTTTACATTTGCAACCATAAAGAACAATTGTCAAATAACTCAAAAATGCATTAGATTCTATTATGATAGCAATTTCATTCACAACTATTAGAATAATCATTAGATAAATCAAAAATGTGGCAGATTCTGATGCAGTGAATAATCATAATTTACCAAAAATAATAGTAACAGATTCCAATATAGCAAATAGTTACAATTTTCATTTGCAGTAATAAGATTGATTATTAAATAAATTAAGATATTACTATAGTGGATAAATTATCACACTATATATAATGTATCAAAATTGATGCTTTAATTATTGTAAACCATTAAACTTTTTATCAAATTTTTAGTAATTATCTATATCAAGCAATATGAATTTCAAATGCCCTTTTTGTGAATGAACATTCAGTCTACATTCAGCATTTAGTTAAAACATTCAATTATGTTTAAAAAAGCAGAAATAGAGTCTGATTCTGATTTTGATGAGCAAGATAGAAATAATGAAATAATTTTATATAAGATATAACACTAAATATTAATGATGAAAATTATTTTAATATAAGTTTTTATTAAATTCATAAAATTAAAAGTATTTTGCTTTAATTAACAGATAACAATAAATTTTAGATGAAAGATGAAATAGAAATATTGTTTAATAGTATCGAAAGTATACAAAGTAATTTACTTTCTGAAATTTCAATAAAAAGCTATGAAGAAAGATCAGAATCTGAAATTTTTGAAGAATTAAAATCAGAAATCTTTGAAGAACTTGAAAACCTTGAAAGTAAACCTGTACAGAATTTCCCAATAAAATTTACAAAAATCTGATATTATTAGTAATAAAAAATAAATTAAACAATAAGACTAGTAATGAAATTATGTTTTTTTAACAAAATTTAAACCTTTCAAAATTCCAATTGTCAAATAACATCAAAAAAGGATGAACATTCATAAATAAGATGAAATTTTCAAATTTGAAATTTTTAAAAATTTGTATAATATTTCATAATAGTAAAGAATATTTTCTTTACTATCAGAATTTAATAAGCTGTATTAAAAATATCTTAGTTATTTTTAATATAACGAAACATTTTGCACTTTCTTATGAAAATTTTGAGGTAAAAAATTAATACTACACATAATTTAATCATCTAATAATATTTTTAATTTATATTTTAATATATATATTTATTTATTTCATAGCGTCAAGTATATACAAAAAACAAAATAATGGATTATAGTAGAAAACTATAGAAGCTTTCTTATCTTATAGAGCTAAATTATTATCAATTAATTTATATTCATATCCTACAACTACACACTTATTAGGAAAAAGTCAATTATATTTAATATATATATCAATTGGTAATATTCATACATGACGTCATAATAAATTAAATGTCAAGCAATTTTTAGAGTATTTATCAATATTAGAATCTTTTATTGGTAAAAATCTGGCTCGTGAAAACTTTCACAAATTTTTGCAATACTTATTAGAACTTATTTATCTAATGAATGGATAGAATTCCAAATAAATAATAAAACTATCTGGTTTTACTCACACATTTCTATAATTATAGCAAATTAGCTAGAAACAGTAACTTCTTGTTTGGCTTATAAATCTACCAATTCAAAGTTTCCTTGTCATTCTTATTTGATAATAAGGAATAATCTTGCAAAATTAAGTTTGTTGTCTGATGATATAAAACTGAGATCTCATAAAGATATACATAAACATTTTGATGAATATACTGAAAAATCTATTAGTATAGAGTCGTCGGTATTTAATTTTTTTTGGAAATTACTGTAAATATTTATAATTTAACATAAAGTCAAATATTATATTATAATAACAATTATTTTAAATCTTTAGAAACATAAATATCTAATTAGCTACAGTGCCTGATAGAATGCATTATTTAGATCTCAGTTTGTTCCGCTACCAGTCTTAGTTGATAAAATAGATTTCTATATAATCACAATTCTCTGTTTTTCTAATCTGAAAATATTTTATAAAGGATTTCTAATTGCAAGATTAACTGCTAATAAATATCAGTCATTGATGAAACAAATGATATTTGTATTAGATAATTTATATATTAGAAATGATAAAAGAGTAGATAATTTTATAAGTAACAATGACCTTGTGAAATTATATGAAAGTTGGAATAAAATGTATATTATAAGTAGATCTGAAGAATTTATTGAAGATGATCTCAATAAATTTCAAGTAAGCTGATAATATTTTTATTAAATTAAATCTAAAAAAAATAAAAACTAATAATAAAATTTTTTAGAATACAATAAATGATTAGACTAAAAG